GACGAAACACAAAACAGGCGTAGAGGAGATCAAACTGTAAGGACTAGAAATCACAGAGTGCAGTATAAAAAGCAAAAGATAAGTGATAGTCAAGTTATCACGTCCGATGTTACCACTGCTTCAGATAAAAATGCACAATCAAGCGCAGATAGCTCAGTTACTAAAATCACAGAGCAAATTGACAAAACTCATATAGATAATCAAGATATGGACACAAATGACGAAGATAGTGTTCAAAATGACACTACAAATATTGCTAAAACCTCAAATAATAGTGTAAATTCATCTCGTACTAAAATCCCACCCATTACTCTCAGGGAGACTGATTTGAAATGGGGAGAAATTAGTAAAGTTTTTCACAGAAATAAATTAAAATTTTTCGGTCGACAAATTCCAGATGGAATTAAAGTTATTGCAGAATCCCCCGATGATTACAGGGGTATGGTAAAAATCTTAAATGATCTAGGAGTTGAACATCACTCATTTAAACTACCAGAAGAGCGCAACTTAAAAGTTGTTGTGAGAGGATGCGAAACATGAGGAAATGGAACTGTCGTAAAACAAACTCAAATGGAGAACAACTCTTTGAATTTATAAACAACGAACCTGTTTATTTCTTTGCCTGTTTATTCTTAGTATATCTTGAAGTTGTTAATGATCTAAGCTCGGATCATTTACCTGTAATGGCCACACTTGGAATCCTAAAAGACAAACGACGCAGGAGAAAAAGATTACAGACTGGAAGCAGTATAATCTAATCTTAAGTAATAGTATCTTCCTGAACACAGCTTTAAGAACCAAGCAGGACATAGACTTAGCTGTGCACCTGTTTACTAACAGTATCATTAATGCAGTCAATACTGCCACCAAGAACATTCCCATTAAACAGACATCTGGAAGACTCCCCCCCCACATCAAAGATAAAATCAGAGAAAGAAATAGATTAAGGAAAGCCTGGAATCGAACATGGAACACCGAGTACTAAAACGGAAATTAATAGACTGAATCGTGACATCAAGCAATCAATTCATCAGCTCAGAAATGACCTTTGGGATGAAAAAATCATGAATTTTAATGAACCAAACAATGCGTTCTGGTCATTTGTCAGAAATCTAAAAGGAAAGGCTGTAGCGAACGAACCACTTCACTTCAATAATAGCGTGGCTCTCACTAATAAAGAAACAGCGAACGCCTTTGCAGAACATTTTTGAAAATCAGTTTAAACCGAATGAGCGTCCTTGTGACATAGACTTCGCTTATGATGTAAGATACTGCATTAATGACTGGTTTACCTCCCAGGAGGACTTATAAGACAATCTGGAACTCACCTCTCCACATGAAATCCAAGAAATCATAAGGAAACTAAAAAACAGGAAGGCACCGGGCTATGATGCAATAACCAACCTAGCGATCAAGAACTTACCGAAAAATTGTATCGAAAGGTATGCCAGTATTTTAAATGCTTGCTTAACTATCAGATACTTTCCGCTTGCCTGGAAAAGAGCCAAAATGATTGTCTTACCTAAAGCCGGCAAGGTTACCACTCGCCCAGAAGAATTTAGACCTATCAGTTTGCTTCCCGTTTTGGGGAAAATTTTTGAACGCATCATTTATCATAGAATCCATCCATACTTAGAGACTACCAGAAGAACAGTTTGGTTTCCGAAAAACCCTTTCCACCACGAAACAATTGGTCAGACTTTATGAGTCATCGGCAGTGCGTTACATAACAGCCAAAATGGGGCTTTACTCATGCTAGACGTGGCCAAAGCCTTTGACCGCGTCTGGCATGAGGGTCTAACTTTCAAGCTCCGTTCCCTTGGCTTCACCAAAACTTTAACGTGTCTCATCTACTCATTCCTGAAAGGCAGAAGTTTTCATGTTTCTATTGGAAATGAGATTTCTGAAGTCAAACGAATTCACGCCGGCGTCCCGCAAGGGTCAATTTTAGGTCCGATCTTATATCTCTTCTTTGTGACTGACTTCCCTAAAACAGGCTTTAACTACAATTACTTCATTGGCTGTTATGCAGATGATACGGCGCTTGCTGTAAAATCTATGTGTCCTAATCAAGCTGTCAGGAAACTTCAACAAGTCATGCCGCAAATAGAATTTTGGTGTACCAAATGGCGTATTTCAATTAACGCAGATAAATCCAAACTGCTCATTATCCGAAAGAAGAACTCTGCCACTGAAATCAACAGAAAAGCTTAAGCTATTTGACACGCAGAAGTTCCTAGAGTACGCAAGGCGAATTACCTTGGCGTTATTATTAATGATCAATTTTTCTGGAAGGATCACCTGACTCATGTCAGGGGAAAAACACTAGGAGTCATTCAGAGTCTTAACCCACTTATTAACGAGCACTCTAAACTGGACTTAAGAAGAAAACGGCACTTATACAGCTCTGTTATACGGCCAATCTTCACGTATGCTTCCCCTGTGTGGGCATCAGTTAGAGACAGGGACATATCTAAATTACAAATTACACAGAACAAGTTGCTGCGCACTTTTACGAATGCGCATTATTTCGTATCTAATAGGACTTTACACAAGGATTTGAAAATCGAAAGTGTCATAGAGCATCTTCATTGCTTAAACTCCAGCTTTTTCCAGAAAGCAGTTACATGCCCTCACATGTCAAAATTACATGTATTTGACTACATTCCACTACCGGAAGATAAAGAGTTACGACCGCTGGCAGCCCACCTAGCCAGAGATCTGGACTTTCCTACATAAAGTAGAATATTCCTGTATATAGTTGTATATATTGTTTATAGCTTTTATGAATACTTTCTCATTATTTCATCGAAACTTCTATATGATATCTGATCTTGCAAACTGCACTTTTCTCACTGTAACTCTATATCTGCAAATGTATGCTTTCGAGAGTTTGTATTCCTACAAACTCGTTCTGTCATGTAGTATATTCTCACAGTAGCTTATCATAAAAACTCATGATTGCTTTACCTTGTACTGCTCCGTCTGCGGGGCGTCTTCTTGTCTGGCCTAATTCCTAGGCTTGCGGCATCTTGCTCGCCCCCTTCTGCCTCACCTCATTCTCTTAACTCCTACCATGTCAGACTTCCTACCGTCATGTGCCTATTGGCTCTCCTCATGAGCTGGAAACAGCGCGCTACTCCAGCCATACTTGTTCGGATCGGATACTTGGTTTTTTTTTTGTACATATGAAATAAATGTGCATATAGCACATTTATGTAGTCTCTCAGTTTTGTATGAATCTGCATATGTTTCATTAAGTTACTTTTTATTGTAAATGATTTGCAACATGTTATGCATTCATATCAAGGAGGTTCGAATAGAAGGAGGGAGTGTTCGCAGTTTCCTCTACTATCGGGGAATGAAACTTCACCGAACAAGCGGCATTCATGTTTGTAACTTCAAAACATTGCATTACAGCAGTGAAACGTACGTGTTTTTAAGCTGTTCCGTGGATGCAATTTACAGTAAAAATATGTTTAAATTTATTAATGAAAATGCTTCGCTATTGTTAGTTTTTTTTTTTTTTTTTTTTTGTTTTAAAGTTAGTTAAGAATGATATCCGTAATTTACTACGTACAGAAAATTAGAAAGTTAACAAATAAATAAGAAATAGTTCGAAATCTAAATGCATGGGCATTACATTAAAGCCTTTAAAAATGATGTTTCTGCATATTTCAAGAATTTGTTTAGGTTTTATTAGCAACCTGTCAGGGTGTACTTTCCAATGTTTTCTTTAAGAAGTGATATTTCTGATTTATTCAGAATATTATCATAATTTATTAAAGAAACATCTCAAAGAGATAGGAAAGAAAGTTATTTTATTTTAGTATGCGAAATTCACATATTTAGCAGATAATTATCTGAAAAAATAGGTCACAGGTTGCATTTTTTTTAAATGAAAGTTTTAAATAGATTCTTTTCACTACCAACAACTTATAACAACAAGAAAATAAATATTAATAAAATAAAACAGATTATGTGAATTCAATGATTTTATGCGAGTGAATTGAGTAATAATTAATACATAACGAAAAGCATTGCTTTATTTAACACCTTTGCAATTCATAAAAATAGAAACAATAGATTTCTTACTTTTCATGAAAATTATAAAACGAATTGCCTAAAACATTATACAGTTTAAATCCTGGCATATATCATTGTATGTTAGGGAACGAAAATACCAGCTAAAAATATATTTAACATATTTTGATTATTCTTAAGTACTTTCTTTCACATCTGAAAAGAAAACAACATGACATTGTGATTTTTTAACATATTTATCAAATTATATAAAAAAAGAAAATCAATACTTACGAGTGAAACGTAATCCCAGGAATCTTTTTGGAAAATCGATTTGTGCATCCATATGAAACGCAAGCTGACATGCTTCAAAATGAAAAGAAAAAAAAAAATATATTGCAATTACAGACTTCCTTGCACAAGTCACAGCGATAACTGTAACATGGCCGTCAAGCTTCACCGCTTGAGTTGAACAGTCCCTTCTTCTATTTTAACCTGCTTGATTCATATAGTCTCTCTCCAGTGGGACAAGCGCCTGGCCCCAGCCACCACCCCAAGTTCTTATTGGACACAACTTCTGATGTCATACAGTGACCAAAAGAATTCTCCGCGGCATTATAGTGCGCCAAAAGCTTTAGCCCAAGGTCATTTTAGCGCTGAAACAGGCAAAGCGCAGGCTGACGATAGAATAATTTGCCGTATTTGGGAAAAAATTACAAAAATAAAAAGCAGCTTCAGAAATATACTGTTAATATACATAGTATTAGAAAAAACGTGAAAATCGATGTGCAGGCGATAACCGTTTAGCAGTATTTTTGTCATTAGATGAATATCGTTTGACAATAAACATTTTTTATATGATAAAAATTGACTTAAGATAAAAAGTAATCACTTTTTATAAGTATAAAATACTTTTACAATAACACTTTTTATAAGATATAAAAGTTAAGAAACAAAACAATAATGCATAAAAAAACAGCACGATAAATCCAATTGACAAAGTCAAATAAACGATATTATTAGTGCTTTAAAAATATCTTATCACTTTATCTTATTTTTAACCATAAATGAAGAGAAATTAATGCCTAGAATTAGAAAGAAAAAAATTAATCTGACTACGAGCAATTTTAATACCAAACAATCTCTATATAACAAACAATAAATGAAAGGAAGGTTATTTAGTTAACAAACAATTAATTTTTATAAAGCAATAACTAGCTTTTACATTTATATCACTTTTAAAAACACTTTTCTGCAAAATAAACCGCTAATTCTTGAAAACTGCGGCAGACATTATTTACACAGTAAGAGTTAAGTGCTATTTCTTGACATTGCTGACGAAGCAATGTCAAGAAATAGCATTAACAAATTATATAAAAAGGGCCGACATATTTTCTTATATTGTTAGGTTCGTTTTAATTGCAATTATTCTGTTACATCGCACAAATTCACATTAACACAGGACATAACCAAATCCAATGTAGTTATAAGTTCCCCTTGACATAATTCAAACGAAACAGATAATGGTATCTTTACAGCATGACGTCATAAACGGCAACCAATAAGAACAGGGGTGGTGGCTGGGGCCAGGCGCTTGTCCAGTGGGTAGATCTGAAACCTTTCTTTTATCTGTGAATCTGGCAACCCGGATTTGTTTGAATGTTGCGATCGCGAATAAGCAGCATTTAATTAACGCAAAAGCAATATTGAATGTTTCATTTTCATTTGTTTGACATATATGTTCATTTTTAAGAGAAGAAACGAATACTATATTACAGTTTCTAGAAGCAGTTGTTCGCATTGTGTTCAACACTGTAAAAAACTAATTTGAAATAAGTAAGGAAGTTCCCCATATTATGCGCTTTCACTAGCGTTACGTTTCAGACGAAAAAAAAAAAAAAAAAAAAAAAAAAGAAGTATGTAATTGAATAAAATACTAATTTACAAATACGTTAGATAACTTGTTTGAAGCATGTGATATTTGCACCAAGTCAACAACAACAAAAAAACCCTAAACAGACCAGAAGAAAAAACATTATTAAATACTGTATGTGTCGAGTCGTTTGCACTAAAAGTTAGTTTCTTACTCTCAGGCAACAAAACATATATGTAGCAAAGCATATGGGCTTACTTACAAATTATGCTTATCGTCATTAATGAGAAGTTCATATAAATGTGACATATGTACCAAGGGTTGCACTGAAGGAAGGCCTTGATTGCACATATGCTTACCATACGAATGAGAATTCATATAAATGTGACATTTGTGACAAGGCTTTTGCCCTGAAGCAAGGCTTGATTGCTCATTTGCATATCCATACTAATGAGAAGTCATATAAATGTGATATATGTACTAAGGCTTCTACACCAAGGCAAGACTTGATTGCACATATGTATCCTCATACTAATGAAAAATCATATAAATGTGACATATGTACCAAGACTTTTGCAGTGAAACGAGGTTTGATCTCACATATGTGTACCCATACAAATGAAAAGCCATATAGATGTAGTCAATGTTCCAAGTCGTATAAATGGCATGGTTCTCTTAAACAACATATGCGCGTCCACACAAATGAGAAGCCATATAAATGTGGTGAATGTACTAAGTCATTTTCACGATTGAGTATTTTCAAGCAACATATCCTTATTCATACCAATGAAAGACCATACACATGTGATAGATGTAGCAAGTCATTTCGACAAACTGGTGATCTCAAAAAACATATGCGGATACACACGGGAGAGAGACCATATCAATGCACAACATGTTGCAAATCATTTGTATTAAAAAGTAACTTAATGGCACATATGCATACACATACAAGCGAGAGACTGTATGAATGTGCTATATGCTGTAAATTATTTAAGCAGAAGAATAACTTAAAGAGACATATGCTTACACACACTGGAGAGAAACCTTATACATGTGACATATGTTGCAGATCTTTTGTACTCAAAGAAACCTTGCAGAATCATATGCGTATCCACACAGGAGAGAAGCCATATGAATGTAGTGTATGTCACATGACATTTGGGAAGAAGTGTAATTTAACAGCACATATGAATATTCATACAGGAGAGAAACCATTTGAATGTGGTGTATGTCAGAAGAAATTTAGTAAGAAGTTTAATTTAAAAGCACATATGCATATCCACTCGGGTGAAAATCACATTGATACGATATGTGTACCAAGTCTTTTACATTAAAGCAAGCCTTGTTTTTGCTTACAGGTATCCACACAAATCAGAAACTGGAAGAATGTGATGTATATTCTTCATCGTTTGCATATAGGTGTAGCTTAAAACACACATATGCCATTGCATGCTGGACAGAAATCACATGTATGAACTATGCTCGATATCTTTCATATGCATACCTGGCTTAAAAAGTCATGTGCATTCATACAGGGCACAGATTACATAAATGTGGTGTATGTTTCCTAAGTGATTTGTGAGGAAGTATCATTTAAAGACATAACATGTATATGCATACAGGCAGGGGCGTAGCTAGAGGGGGGCAAGGGGGGATCTGTCCCCAGGCGCAGAATCCAAGGGGCGCCAAACTGATGTTACGACATTTTAGAATTATATGTTTTCCATCCTTGGCAAGCAGTAAGGGGCGTGAAATCTTCATTTGTCCCTGGGTGCTGAAAACCCTAGCTACGACTCTGCATACAGGAGAGAATCCACATGGATGTGGTGTATGCGTGAAGTCATATGCATTGAAAAATCAGTTGATGAAACATATGTGTTTCGGTATTGGTAGAAGACCATGTGTATGTGACATATGCTGCAAAACATTTGTTTGCAGGACTAGCTTAAGCATGCATTCGCATTACACATAGATGAGAAATCACATGAGAACAAATCAATCAGTTATTTGTGTTTAAAGATCTTTTTGAACAATTATATGTTTATTCATACTGCTTAAAAACTGTCTAATTAATTTTAAAAAAATGAAAAATTTATCACCTTGGACAACTAGATTTTTAGGCTCTGTTTACCATCTAAGCTAACAAAGTGCTACCCCAAAATCTCATTCCTTAGTGGCCACAAAATCATGCTTATGTAATTCCTAATCCCATTCTCCCCTTTATGAGAAGAAAAGTGGATCATGGGGGCCTCTAAAACCCAAATCTTAGATTCTATTAAATGAGCCTTGGTAATTTTATTAAAATTCTATTTAATATGCAATAACAAATTGATGAGATTAAAGGTATTTCATATGACCACACTAAACTCATAAATAGCCCTAACTGTAATTTGGTGATAATTATAATAATCAAAAGAACTCCAATTCTAAATTAGCATTCATACAAAACTTTAATTTTAACAACTTTTAAAGTAGAATTTTAGAGCCAGTGACAAAATAGTAAGTTGAGAAATTTGCATATAAAATGGAATTATAATCATACTTCAGCACCATGTTATGAAAACTCTTTAAAAAATAATAGTAATTAAAACTTACCTTCATGTAAACAAATTTCATGCATTTAAAGAGTGAATAAAGTAAATCTTTTTTAAGTGTAAATCCTTAAAAAAAAAAAAAAAAAATCTGAAAGGTTTCAGATTTTAAAAACATTTTGTGTGTTACATTTATTTATTAAATAACACGTTCTTTGCACTTAAACCATAAAGTTCAGTTCAACAGCAATACTGCAAAATAGTTTTAAAATGAGCATATCTTTAGAATTCCTGATACAGAGACTCGCGTGCTGGAGATAAAAATGTTTTTTCTGTCGCTCTGTTACAACGTTGCCATTGCTCGCTTTGAAATTCTTGAGTTTGTTAATCAAAAATTTGTTAAAGTTTTACAAAATATGAAATCAATAATAAAACAAATTTTTAATTTGGGCTTCCAAATGCCCATATTCGTAGGAGGATAACGTTATTCAAAATTCGATCGTACCGTTGTTTTATCACAAGAGAAATGTACATAGAATTATGCAGATACTTCATTATTTAATTTCTTCAAATATAATGCAGGACTCTAATATTTGATGGCAACAGTTTCAAAAATGAAATGTCAAATTCAAATATTTCAAAAATGAAATTTTTAGTGAATCAATGCAAAATCACAAAACCAAAACAATAGTCCTTCAGGGACAAAGCCCCTTTGGATTAATAAAGTTGTTCCCGGTCGCTGAAAACCCTAGCTACAGATCTGAGTAGGTCTGACATAAATGCAGTTTTTATCCAAATTATCTGTGGTTCCTGTATGTTGTTTTCAATCACCTGCTAGCTGTGGAAGTTTCACAATTCATTGACAGTGAATTAATATTGACCAGGATCTCACTTTTGGCAGAGTCTGATGGTTCTGGACCTCGGTCTTTATAAGATTTCTTAAAAAAATTTAAGCAGTAAAGAATATCAAATTTAGTTTCTCAAAATAATAAATATACCAAGATTTAGGTACTTCAAACAGATGAAGATGCCATGTTTAGTTAATCAGGAAAACTGACACTATGAAATTCAATTAATCCTTTACATTGTTAACATGTTAAAAATTAAAGTTTTTATTCAAAAAGTAGTATTTAGTAGAAATCCAAAATTTGAAGTTACTGTTCCTGCAATCTGCATCATAAAATGTTATCAAATTACTAAATAAAGTTTACTTTATCATGACAGATCAATCATAAAGGTGCTAAATAAATTTATTTCGTAACTACTATCTGTACATCCCACTCTAGATAATGCTAAGACTCAGTCGCTCTTTGCATGTGAATGTGTAAAAAATAACATACAGGAATCTCTATTCTGCAAATATTTACTTTATAAAGCATTAATTTTATGAAAGACATAAACTGGGATCTTTCATAGTTAATGAAGGAAGTCCATTGAGGATTTTCACTTTCACAATAAAAGATGAAAATGAAGATATGGTTGAATGCAAATTTTATACAAAGGCTGATAATACGTTAATTATGACAGGTAGTTTTCCATTTCGCCGGCGCAAATCTCGCCAAGCAGACTTTGTTGGCTACAGCATGCAGTATACACATAAAAAATGTTAACAAATGTTAGTTCTAAGAATTTTTTTATTTTGAAGGCATTAACATTTTAATATGGTTTAAAATTTTGTAAAAAGCCAATAAATAAAGACAATTTGTAAAAAGACATTAATTTAAGAATTTACTATGCTTTCATGGATCAACAGCCTGATTCGCCAGTTCGTATCACGTGACCTCAAGTGATCTCATCTTGCATAAACTATGCTACAAAAATCTAATTCTGTCAGTAATTATCTATATTAATTTCCAGTTAAATCTTGATGTGGAATACAAGTTTAAATGCAAGAAATGTTTTAGTTCGTACGAATAGCTTACTCAGTATGTGAAACCGCATTGCTTTATTTCGCTAGTGCATTCTCATTAGCATGGATGAATTTAACCCTTGACTTTGCCTTTTCTATATTTTCACCTTCGGGTGAGCGGCGTGATTGCATCCTAATTGACTTAATTATCGAGAATGGTTTTAGGTCATAAAATTGAACTATCTTGTAAAAATTCTACATAATTTTATGCCAGTATTGAAAGAAACAGTCAATCTGGTAAGAAATGGCTGTGACTTGTTTTGAAAATGAAGTGTAAAAGGTTACCAGCAAAGATATTCCGTTTGGCATCAGTTGTACCAAGATTGGCGACTTTTATCGTTTGTGCCGGCAAAACGGAATATAACAACCTTATGACACATATGTTTACGGCAGTTTCTGCTAGATTGACTGAAAATATTATGCAGTTAAAAAGATAATACTTCAAAACACACGATTGTTTCATTGCCACCACCTTTATTACTCACTGTTCTTTTTTTTTTTCCCTCAAGCTTTGTTTTGGAAAGTTACATTATACTGTAATAGTGTATTGTGTGCTATTATATGTTATCAAATGCTCAGTGTATTTAGTATGTTGTTATTTCATTTGCTATTATAAGGTTTTTAAGAAATATGGTTTTATAGTTTTTTTAAGAGACTGGATAGTACTTATAATATTTTTCCCATTTAAATTTATGGCAATTATACTGTTATTGTATTGAATTTAAGCCTATGAAAGCTTTTTCAGAAGCATTCTGCATTCCTAAAGTTGTAGAAAAATCTGTATGTAAAAAATAAAAAGAAGAATGCATTTTTGTGATTTTCTCTACATGGAAACCTTTAAATCTCAATGTGTGTTTTATGTATTAAATTTCAGCAACCTTTATTTCTAAATATATGTATACTATATTGAATATATTTAATTATTCAAAGTATGCTATTACAATACTTATATATTTCAGTTTTAATGTAGACAGTTTTATATACATCCATAGTGTTGATTAGTAGGTATGGCACTGCCAATAACTAATGTAGGAAATATTTGCATCTGTTTTTTTCCCAGCTGAAATTGGCATATCTAAATCAGGATAAATTAATTTCATTATTTGACCTACTTATATAATTGCATCTATTTGTCATGAATGCTATTTTTGAATTTTGTGCAAAATAACAATAAGCATGAACAAAATGCCTACTCAAGAAATCTGGAGACAAGTGAGGCAGTTAATGTCGCCAATCTTCAGCTGCAAAAGTATCTGTCAGTGAGTTCAGTATGTCAGAATCTTTAGATAAAATAAGGTGAGTATGTTTTAAGAACAAATATTAGAACAATCCATTTCAGTGACACATGACAGGAATAAAAAAAAAAGGATGGATATTACACCCTTATATGCTGTGCGTCTAGTTTTCAATCGTTCTCAAAATTACATAATTATGTTTCTCAGATTGAGGAGGGAAAAATTGTAGTCTTTATATAAACTGGAGATCCGATGCAAGTCTGTAAATTAGGTGAACATCAGAGTCCTGGTGTAAGATGTCCGGTATGGCCTCACTATGTTTTAGGTCAATTAAATGTGGTGGCGAATCAGAGGTGATGGTGATATATCACAAAAAAACTAATGTACTGACACAATTGCAAAATAATACAGTCAAAAGTCGTTAATCCGGACTCGTCGGGACTTAGGAGTTTCCGGATTATAGATCATCAGTTTAAATCTGGTAAGATGGCATGCAGAAATTATAAAATTAAAAATATGAAACCGTAATTGTTATATATGTAACTGTAATTGTATCTGTTATTATCTTTAACCATAACTAATATAATATAGTAGATGAGTAATGTAGAATAAACGATGTTTGTGTACATCTTGTAATCATCACTGAGCACGTACCCAACACACATAAAATACAACACATGGTGCAGCCCGTTGTTGATTAAAAAAGAAAATCTTTTTTCAAGAACCATGCAGCCTATATCGCTGGTAAGTGAGTTGTTTATTTTTATTAGAAGTGGCTAAAAATATGTATATATAAACTATTGAAAGTCCTAAATTAAATATGGATGGATTAAAGCCACCAATCTAACCATCTAAGTTTCGAAGGAAATTTAAGCGAAAATTGGAAGAAATGGAAACAAAAATTCCAAATTTATATGTTAGCGTCTGGTGGTATTACTAAATCACCTGAAATTAAAGTAGCTATTTTATTGCATATAATTGGTGAAGAAGCACTTGAAAAATTTAATACTTTTAATTTAAGTGAAGAAGATAAGAAGGATGTTGACAAAGTAATTGAAGCTTACGAAAATTTTTGCATACCAAAAGCAAACGAAAGTGTTGATAGACATATATTTTTCTGTCGAACACAACATGTAGGTGAATCGTTTGATGATTTCTTAACCGATTTAACGAAATTAAGTAGCAACTGTGGATTTGCAGAATTAAAAGATAGTTTAATAAGGGATAGAATAGTAAGTGGAATTCTAAATAAAAATCTCAAAGATAGATTATTAAGGGAAGATCAGTTAACTTTGGAGAAATGTATTAAAATGTGTAAAGCTTCTGAATTAGCAGAACTTCAGCTGAAAACTTTAACTGAAGAAAATAAAATAGAAGCTATCAAACGTAATAAATTTCGACCTTCAGAGGAAAAAAGTCAGCCTCGTAAGAAAGACTTTCATGTAAAACAAAAGCAACAAAGTACTAAATCTTCTTCAAACTATCAAGGAAATAAATACAATAATCCAAAACCATGTAGAAAATGTGGAACTTTTCATAAGTTATACAACTGTCCTTCTTATAAGATTTGCTTGTACTGTAAAAAGAAAAATCACTTTTCTAAAATGTGCACTTTTAAAAATGTTAATGTTGTACAGAATAATTTAGAGCATGAGTTACATAATAATGGTAATGAATATATTTTAGGGTCAGTAGAAGATATAAATCCATTTTCTAAAAATAAAACCGAATGGTTTGAAGAACTAAAAGTAAACATATCTCAATATTTATTTGTTAAGTTGGATACTGGAGCTCAGTGTAATGTGCTACCATTGGCCTAAATTTAAACAATTAAATTTAAGAGAGAAATGTTTGACTGAAATCAAAAGTCACTTTATTAAAGAATTACAATGGTACTACAATTGATTGTAGTTGGAAAATGTAAATTATTATGTGAAACATCGAAAGGCAACAAGGATGAAATAGAATTTCAAGTCGTAGCATGTGATAAAACTGTTCCAGCTATTTTAGGTTTACCTACATTGCAAAAATTAAACCTAATGCAAAGGATTTGTACAGTAAATCCTGATTCTAATGAATTAAAAAAAAAGTTAAAGTTATCAGA